ATCTTATCTGTGACAAAAATGTCGTTGCTGCTCTCCCTGTCGCTCGTAGCGGTGGATATCGCAAAAACATCCCAGCCAGGGCTGCTCCCTTCGGCCTGTGCCTTGCCAAAATCAGGCGACAATTGAATGCGGTCGACGTATGTAGAGACGAGCACATCATCTGGCGGACAAGGAGCAAGGCAGTTGGCGTATAGACCGGGGACCTGGAAGAAGTTGTCGATAGCGACGGGTGTAGAGACGAGATCTTGTGTGCAGGTAGGCTGTGCCTTGGGTAAGACAACATCGGCAACGACGGCACCGTCGCTGTTGCCGGCGACTCTGCGGACGCCTTGGTAAATGTCGCCGTATTGAACGACCCTGGAGAACACCTTGTACACAAGCTTGCCTTGGACAGCTTCGCCTCCAGGCTGCGTAGCCATCTCGGTAAACATCTGACCCATGTCTTGGTTCTTTTGCATGCGATGAAGGAGCTTGCTGGTCCGTTCTAGTTCAGTCGTGATGCTCTTGTCGGTTGACGGAACTATTTCGCACTTTCCGGTAGCATGCGTAGTAGTGACCTGCGATTGTCTACTTGAACGCTCTTGGGAGACGAAGGCAAAGTCGAACTTGCAACCAATCTGATCCAACGGACTCAAAACAAGCTGAACGATCCTATCCTCCCCCATTCCGAGGGGCGTGGAAATCTCCAGATCATCTACACATGCAAAAGGCGCACAAGCGATGTTCTCAACGGCCGCGAGCTGCTTGGCGGCCTGCATGACTAGCTCGATATACATAGTCGCTGGACAAAGTGCCTTGTTCAGCACAGCATGGCCACTGACGAGCACCCTCCAGCATTCGGAACGAGGATCGATGGTAAAAGTCGCATTTCTGGGGCCACGGGATGCCCCATCTTGGAACCCGGATAGCGTAATGAGCACCGGCTCTGGCTCTGGCTCGACGACAAGAGACTCGGGCGCTTTCGCCGGCACTTGGGACAGCTCAGATGAGATCCCCGCCTTAAGGTCGAAGTCCAGCCAGTGTCGCGTCTTCTCGAACTGGTAGGGAGGAAGATTCAGGGCTTGATAGCTTTGCTTCTGGAAATGGTGGAAATGCCAGAACTGAACATGGTGGCCATGCCTCCAGAGATTGACGGTTGTGTCTGCTACCGAATTCAACGCGTCATCCCGAGTCAAGTTAATGGGACAGAACAGGTGGTCATCGGTGTTGCTGGTAGAAAGAGCGCGTCTAGCGATGCTAGTAACCGCTGAGTTAGACCCAGCTTCCAGCCATGTGCATGCGCCGAAGCGGGCCTCAATACGTTTCACGGCATCTTCGAAGTAGACGGGTGAGCGAGTGTGATCGGCGACTTGCTTGGCCGTGATGTCGAACCAGGTCTCTCCCATCGAGCAGGTCTCGAAGTGAATCACGGGCTTGTTAAAAGACAAATTCTCGACGAGCTTCTCCAAGTCCGTAAGAATCGGGTCGCTGAACCTCGAGTGGAACCCGTGCGTGACATTCAAGACCTTGGCCCTGCCTTTAGGACTTCTGCTCATGAATTGAACGTGAGCAGCATCGACTGCAGCAGAAGACCCCACGAGAACATGACTTGAAGGCCCGTTGAAGCAAGCTATCTCGAGACGGTAGTCAGAAGAGACGTCCAGTCTCTGCACTGTTGAGATTAGGTCCTTTGTGGTCTCGTAATCAGCCTCTAGAGCAATCATGGAGCCCCTTTCCGAGCCCCATTTCTGGCGCATCAAAACGGCTCGCCCATACACCAATTTGAGGCCGTCCGCAAGAGACAGAACGCCAGCAACGACCATAGCGACGAGCTGACCGAAGGAATGACCCAAAACGCAATCAATTTGCAAGCCGCAAGCGATCCAGGACTGAGCGCAGGCATAGTGAAGGGCAAACTGCATCGTCTGCAGCGAAACCACATCATCAACTGGCTGGGTCGCAAATATACCCGGATAGATCCCCGGGTGTGCGAAGCCTTGTATTATACCGTTGCATTCGTCAAGATACTTGCGAAGGAGTGCCGAACTGTCATAGACGTGCTTGCTGAGGCCCACAGAGCGGGAGGTCTGGCCGCCGAAGATGATGACAACTGGATTGGGCTTGGGGTTGATCTGGCAGAGAGGTGACTCGGGATTGAAAGCCACAACCTGAAGTTGATTTTCCAACTCTGAAAGGCTCGAGGCTGTTGTTGCAAGCATGTTTGGGAGAGTCCGATTCTGCCTCTCGCTCAAGTTGAACCCGATGTTAGCCAGTATTTCGACCTCTGAAGCCGAGCCCCTGCGGAGAGAGGAAATATAGTCTAGCAGCTTGGCGGCGTTCTCATGGAGGCTCTTGACACTGTTGGCAGTAATGATTACGGGGAATTTATCGACGTTACTTGATGCGGTGGCTTGGTAACTCCGTGCCAGGGGGGTCTTCGAAGGCGGCTCCCTGACGAGCATGGCGGCTATACTACCAGCTGCCCCGTAATTGTTCACACAAGCAACGAGTGTGTCGGCAATCCAAGGGATGGTTTCTGTCGGGATCGACATTCGCCCGGGAACCAGGCTAATCTTGGGATGAGGAGATTGAAAATGCGCCTGTCTGGGAATGGCGCGATACTGCATCATCAAAAGAGTCTTGATGAGACCAGCGACTCCAGAAGCCCCTTCAGTATGACCGATGTTTCCTTTCACAGACGCAAAATGAAGAGGGACGTCTCTCTCCCCGCTGGCGAAGACCTCCTTGATGGCGCCGAACTCGAGGGGGTCGCCAACGGGCGTCCCCGTACCGTGAGCTTCAACGTAAGTAACGTCTTCAGCCGCGATACCAGCCGTAGTCAAAAGCTTGCGGTAGAGTTCCGTCTGTGACGGGCTATACGGAACGGTGATGGGCACTTTGCTGCTGCTCTGCCTAACAGCGGTAGCGAGTATCGTGCCAAGCACATTATCGCCGTCGGCAACCGCATCAGAAAGTCGCTTCAAAACGACAAGGCCGACTCCCTCGCCACGGCAGTACCCGTCAGCACTGGCGTCAAAGGACTTGCTCGCGCCAGTGGGGCTAAGAAATGAGGCGGCAGCCAGGTTCTGGTAGAAGAATGGGCTTGTGAAAATGGAGACACCGCCGGCGATGGCGCTCTTGCAGTCGCCGTGCAGGATTGCTTTGCAGGCAGCGTCGATGGCGACTGCTGATGATGAGCAGGCCGTATCCAGGGCAATTGAAGGTCCAGACAACCCGAAGAAGTGGCTGATCCTGCCGGGGACGAAAGCTCTCAGAGTCCCCAGAGCAGAAAAGGCGTTGGCCGGATGGCTGGCTACGTTGTCATTGTAGTCTGACGCACATACGCCGATAAAGCAGCCGACGTCCAAGTCGGGCTTGCGGGGGCCGAAGAAGCCGGCCGACTCAAGAGCTTGGTAGGAAACCTCTAGCAGGAGTCGTTGCTGAGGGTCTAAGGACGCTGCTTCGCGGCCTGACTTCTTGAAGAAACGATGGTCAAAGCTGGCAATGTCGTCAAGGTAGTTTCCGAAGTATACCGTCTTGTCCGTGTCACGTTGGTGTTCGTGAGCAGGGAAGCGTCCGCTGGGTGGTTCGCTTAGCTTCGACTCTCCCGCGTCTAGCATGCGCCAGAAATCCTCAACTGAGTCGGCGCCGGGAAATTTGCAACCCACGCCGACGACAGCAATGGCGTTGGGTGGCATATCCTCCGTGAGGAGGCTGTCTGTGCTAGTGGTAGACATTGTAGGGTGTGGTTTATATTTCTCCTTGTTAAAAGGAGTTAAAGAAAGTTGAAGATGCCGGTTGACGTTTGGAAAACTGGAGTTTCTTCAGTGTGGGCACAAGGCCATCTCAAATAACTCATTTTCTAATAACTCCAAATCCGGAAGTAATTCATCGTCTACCGGTTTGCAGGTGCAATTGTGCCTCCAAGATGACTTGAGATGTTTAGAACCAATCATAATGTCTCAACCGAGTTGCAAGGGTGCCAGGCCCGCAGAAGGACTCATCGAGGGCACGTTGAATGCACGAACTCGGGTCTCTCTGACTTGCCCCAACTCGGGTCCCGCGTCCATTTAACACTCCAACAGCGTGAAAATACAACATAGATTATTATCGACCTCAAATTCCCATTGCAACTCATAATATCTAGATTGGTGAGGCTCATATCATTCGTTGCAGATGGGATCTGAAGCAAACACTCCGTAAGATATGGCCTGGTTGTAATTTCCTCGAACATAGCCAGTGAATCCCTGATTTCCTTTCTTGAAATCTTTCGTGGGTAGTCTCATGAGACCTTTGCAATAAATGTCTTAGCAGTGCTTCCAGTTCAGTGAGCCTGGCTTCGTGCCTAGATCCGTCTTCGTGCTTCAACAAGTACCAACCCAAGCAGTGTTGCACATTTTGTTTTGCTCTGGTGTGGTTCTTGTTGATGCACCAACTGTCCGTGGCCTAAGCCGTTGACTTATGGAGAATTGTGTTGCTCTAGGCATCACATGGGTTTCATTTCATCGACACATAATATCTTTGGAAAGTACATAACTGACTGATCTGCAACTGTCATCGCAACTTACCATCAGCACGCATATGAGCTCAAGCTTTTAAGCTCCGGTGATGACAATATATCCCATCAACTGCCAGAAGGTGCCAGGATGTCTCAGCCGTCTCCAGTCTTTTCCCGACTCCAACTTTATCTCAAATCCATTCATAAAGTAGGTGGTTGAAAAGAAAACAGGGTCGGATAGATATGCAATTCGTTCTTACCCACAAAGCACGTACATACATACTGGCGCTATCTAGTAGTTGATAGGATTTGTAAGCACGTTTGTTCCTTTCTTGTCTCCATAAACTCTCAAAGTGCGTCTTATTGACAGCCAGAAGCATTGCGATACTTCTACACTACATGAAAATCTGCTAACAATTTGAACAACCTTGTAGGCGTACGGGGAAGCTGAGCGTTCGCGATTGGAGCCTGGGTACTCAATATACGGGCCTCAACTCCTGGACATCTCATTGAAGGAGCACAGTCAGAGTCCTGGAAAGGGTCAGCAATATTCTAAGTCTGGGAACCTTATTAATGGTGTACTTACTCCAGTTTCCGACAAGGTTATAGTTGATGTTCCGGTGAATGGTACCGAGAGCCATGCTGAAGGTACTTCGCCTTGGGTATGGGTTCGAGCCAGAACCAACAGCTAAGCCGTTGTCGACACGAGACAGGCCGGGATCGCCGTTACCGCGGTCAGACTGTGCACCAAAGTTGACGAAAACGTTGGCATAGCCGGTAACTTGGACCTCGAGATGGACGTTGAAGATACCGTCGCGGCCAGTGGTTCTCCAGGCGCGGTACTCCAGGCGGTGATCACGAGCCGAACCGGCCCAAGTGTTCAAAGGAAGCTGTGAAAGAGTGGGAGTGGCGCCATCAAAGACGTGGGCTTCGATGTCGCCGCGAAGATCGATGCTGATGGCGGGGAGTTCGGCTGGGGCACCGCGGTAACCGACGCATGTCAGGCCACGCTCCTGTACCAGAGGTTGGAGAACTGGCGAGCATGAAGCCAGAGCCATAAACAAGGCAAGAAGCCAAAGCATCTTCAAAGCTGAATACAACGAGTGTCTTGTACAAGTAAGAAAGAATGTTGTGCGTTGGTAACGAGCTGGCGAGATGTTCTAGCTGAAGAGCTCTCATCGTCTGGGGCTTTGAGTTCATAGCTATATACTTCTATTTAGCTGTACAGATATCATAGAACTCGGCATCTTCGCATGGTACAACATCTACTATCTCTGTAATTTTCCATCGCAAATTCAGATATATGACTACGGAGTTCTCGGTGTTCAGTATTATGCCTTATTCTTCCCGAGTCTGCCCAGTTTGGAAATGAGCCTCACAACACGGGCCTAAAGGCGCCCACGGCCAAAAGCTTGCGACTTCACTAGAGGATTGGCTGAAAGCTTAGTATATTTTTACGTCAGCTGATTGATTCCAGAACGTTTGCGATTCCGGCACGCCTTTCCGAACTGGAGTGGCAGCTTCTGTTAGTGGAATATTTACAACTCTTAGTTCAGAACTTTGAGCGAAGGCACTGACTCTTGCAAATTATCACGAGAATGCAATCAAACTTACGCCCAATGCAATGATTGCTTGCGAACGGAACTCGCGGGGTTCGCAACTTCGCTATTCCATAGAGCATATAAGTCCCCAGCCGCTTTTTGCCGGAATTCCTACCTACAACATTTGATGCATCTCTTCAGTCATTCCAAAACAACTATCAAGTACGCTCTCTGACCATCAAGCATTTTCACTACCTGCCTTGATTCAGTCTATCGCATTTTATCGATCACAGTCAATTTTCAACATGCATTTCTCCGTTCTTCCTGCCATGGCCCTTTTCCTGTATGTTCTTAAGATTCATCCTTGAAAATTCGTAACTTAAGGTCGCTAACGCTCGCGAGGGGTTTTTCCATGGCTGACATGCACGACTACTGCGCATGCCAATACAAAACCGACTCAGCAGTTGACTATGCCGCCACTGATCTGCTAGCCGGTGACTGCAGGTTCGGCTACACCTATGGTAGGTCTTGCGTTTCTTGACAATCAGAGTCGCGCAGCTAAAAGCTTTATAGGCCAAAACTCGGGGCAATTCTGGATTGGTCGATCATCTGGTTCGGGACCAAGGTTCCAAGGACGATTCGTGAGTTCACGTCCAGCTAGATCAGTACCCAGGGAAACGGCACGACTGACTTGTGAAAACAGCTCAAAGCGATTAGTGGCCAAATTGATGGAAAGGAGTTCTACAACAACTGCAAAAGATATGCTGCGAATGATGCGACTTGCTTTAATTGTGAAACTAAGTTCGAGTATCCTGATGGGTCTATTCTGTGTCGGTAATTATTTGACGTAGATAGAGTTGGTTTTCTCATTGCTCAACATTTCATCATAATAAGGTGCTTAGGTGACTGCAGTGCTATGGAGCAATTGGGCCCCAGGCGTCGCCATGAGTCACTTTCATAGTCAGCGCTGTTCGTGGTGCTGCTTTGCAGCCATTCTTGTGCATAGCTTTTGTGTCCTGCCTCAGAGCTTTTGTTACTCTCTGGGCATGGAATTGTGACAGATTACTTTGCCTGTGTACAAGAACTTTACCATTGGCTCCTTATAAGCGGAAGCAGATGTGAAGTAGCGAACCGTGGAAACTGTATGAAATCGATACGGAACCCCTCGTGAATGAGAAGTGATGAGTGCCGCACCATCCGGTTCTGAGAGCATGTGTAATTTTCAGGGTGGGTGGAAATGCCTTTTTCTCGGCATCCAAGAGCAACCCTAGTGAAGCATCTCGAGCTAGTTGCTAAAAGTGCTGCCTTAGTGATGACTTCTATACCAAGATAAGGTAAAAGGGGAAGCTTTCCCCGACGAAGAGCGGCATCAACCCACTTTTTCGAGTAATTAAGTAGGCATCCTGACATCGAAATGACTACCTACTTGAGAACTGAGATTAACAGCGAGTTTTCTTGTCTGAATGTTAATTCATTACACTTCGAACCTGTCCCGACAGGCAACACCCCACTGGGCAGGAGGTACGATCCCGAATCCCAGTCGCTGAGCACGCCCGCCCTATGAAGACCGACTATAGTTACAATTGAAGAAATCAGCCAAAGGCTAACCTAATTGTGTGAGAGCTACCCACACGTCTCTACTCTGTATTAAGCCAGCTGGTCAAGCTGGCAGGCCGTGAGTGAAACACCGGGACCACCGGACGCTACGGGCGGGCCGTCGGGATTTTCGAAAGGCGGTCCACGGACAAGTCAGCCCCGGTGAGGTAGAACTTACAATGATATAGCATGTGAAGCCGCTTCTCTAGTGGAAGAACGGCGAACGCTCTAAGGCGTGTCCTAAGCGAAAGCGAACCATCAATCGACCGATGAAAGACAAAGTGTGCAATATGCAAGAAATACCGAACCATTGTACGTCACGTTGGAGATATTAAAGCTTATGCTGAAATACCTTACCGATACCGACGTTCGAACCTTGATCGACGACAGTCAGAAGTATCACAGGAGAGCCCCACGATTTTGCAAAGGTTGGAAATTCTATGGCCATAACCCACGCCATGCGTGGATGAATGTGCGAGGAACGGCGTGCAGCTTCAATGATTACTTTTATTGGTAGTGCGTATTTGGATTTGATTTGAGGGGGTTTGGCGAAGATGAAATTCTACCATACAGAGTGACCGGGCTCTCAGTCAAGAATCGTCAACCAGCCCAGAATTCTACTCAAATTGCGGAACCTCAAAACCCATGCATGATATGCTTGCTCATGTTCATCATCGCGGCGAAATACAGAGATCAGCTCTCCTCCGGCGCGGAATCAACCGTGAATGTGTACCCGCCTTCAGCATCGGGCTTGATGTCCGAAAGACAGTACCGGGGGGTCTTCATACTGTTTCGCGTCGCGGTCAGATTCGAGCACATGGATTGATGGTTTGAGTTTTGCTTACCTCCATAGCCAATTTGCCATACACATATTTTTGCAATTTTTCGCCAGCAGAGTGACGTGATTCCTATATGGCGTATCGTCGAAGCGGCGAGCAGAAGCCTTGACGGCGTCGTTGAGCGCAGATACTTCGTGCTCCAATCGAGTCACAGCACCATCTAGCCCCTTTTGCGCATCGCCATTGGCTAGCAAGACAACAAGGTTCTCGACGAAACCTTCCTTGAGTTCCTTGCGCAGACTCACAATGTCGTTGACGATCCAGACGATGGCAACAGCAGCTCGGTACAGCTCGCGCATTTCTGGGGATGCCATGACCTCCTCGGGGAGGCTGATTCCGTTGGCGAACTCGAGGTTAACGGCCACCTGCATGATGCATGATGATGCCTCGCGGTATCCGAGGTATTCTTGAAGCGATGTGGCTCGACCAGCATAACGGTTTACGGCTTCTTGTCGATAGCCGTCAAGGGTGGCAGTAGCTTCTTTGGCGATGCGTTGTCGATAGCTGTAATTGTCCCCGTTGGCCTTCATGACAGCTTCAGCATACTCAGAAAATGATACAACGGCGTCATAATCCCGATACTGTGGTTGACCGGTTTCAGAGGCACATATAGTGAGGAGTCCGAGGCTACGGTCAATGAAGTCCCGGCAATCGGCCAGAAGAACATGCAGCGAGGCGAAGTCGAACTTATGTATGAGCGAGTACTGGTCGAGCATGTCATCGACGATGAACATCCAGGCCTGGAAGGAAGTGAGAGCTTCGATTCTATCGCAGGAAGCATATGGGTACCAGCCCGTCAGTTGCTTCGATAGCATGGCCTTAGTTAGACGACCACGAACGGCATCATTGACTGCGTGACTATTGCTTGGTCAGTGACATCCCGATCATCGCTATAAAGTCCTCTTACCTCTCGATGATCTGGAGAATTTTGCTATCTACAGCATCGAGGTGTGGGTTCTGGTCTCTCGGCCAATCTTCCATCAGCCGTCCCAGGTCTGGAATGCGAATCTTCTGGCCATGGAGCTGCAAAAGCATTTTCTCGCGAACTCCATGGGTCCTTTGCGGCAGCAAATCGTTGTCACGAGTTTGATGTCCTCTTGGAGTAGATGAAAGAGCAGGGTGAAGTGAGAAGGGCGCTGCGACAACTGAAGAATGAGACATCTTGGACGTAAGCTTTAAGTGACGGTTCGTGAGAAAAAAAACATAGGAAAGGTTGGCGCATGTAGCATATCTATGATGCCGTGAAAAGGGGACAGGTCTAGTTGCTTACTTATGTCTCCCACAAGTTGGATAGTATAAACACGAACACACCAGCCAACAGCCTGCAAGGAACTTTTGTTTCTCCACTGCGAGGACTATTGATAGGATCCTATTACGGGGGCACCGGGCCGAGCCCGGTACGACATCAAATCGCACTCTAAAACCGCCCTGGAGCGCTTGAAGTACATGCTGCTATTAGGATGCATTAGGCTAACACTGCGAGTCCGTGGCGTAGACTGGAGTTTTCGCCTTGCTTATTTTCCGTTTCCGCCTTGAATTCTCAAGAACGTTGGGCGCTGTACGTGTTGTTACAGGCAAGATACATGTTTGAAAGCTCAAAACACTTGTGCTGATGGTCCAATCTGGCGAGCATGTCGTCGACCGTGAGACTGGCTGACTGCTGCCAAGGTTTTGAAGTAAAACCATGTGGTGGGTCTCTGTATAGACTAAGTAACTTCTTCGCAGCTTCCGGACCTGGGAATAGTAGTTTAAAGTCACAGAACTGAGGATTTACGTTGTCCGCGGGTATGTCCACCATGCCTGCTGATCATCTTCCATTGCAGGCTACGCCGACCTGGAGTACTCCACTTGCAACCTTCTCGGGGCCGGGACCGGGACGATGTAGGTTGGCCGTCTTGATTTCCGGGAGCTTAACCACAAAGGCTGTGCACACCAGAACTCACAAGGTTTACTCCAGTTGTAGTATTGTTTGTATTTTTAACGTCGTTTCAGTAGAAAAAGCAACGTAGGGGCATTGCTACTCACAATACCTACACAGTACGAGGAGGTCGCAAGCGGCATGGCGGAGCGCGTGTAAGGCGCGGAAACATTGGACCAAAACTAATCCAAAAGATAGTGGCCAATAATTACAGACGAAAGTGACTACACTTCGGCCCACGAGCACGTCCGAGATTGACATGCGCGCAGATGTCACTCAAGCGCTTAGACTGTAGGCGGAATCGAGCTCCGTGCTGGGCAAAGACGGCAGTATCTTCCTACGCATTGAAAAGTTGACACCTTGTATCTTTGCCCCCATCAGAGTCTCCTTCACCCATGGAAAGGATACTTAACGGGGGGGGGGGGGGGCGGAATTTAGGTTCCCGTCCCTGGCCTTCTTCGAGGGAGACTCACGAGCAATTATTTCCCATAAAGGCATTTGCCTGAAGTTCGTGATGTCAAAGAGGGGACATGGACTGATTGTGAACAGTGATGCGGTTAGGGACCGGCTTTGAACGCATCTGCATCTTGAGAGAGTGAATATTTAAAACAAAACATGTTTAAGTTAGCTCCTTCATCGACTAATATGCTTTGGCTATCACCAAGAAGATTGTTATTACCATTGCCGCCACCACTGCCTTCAACTTTTTAACCTCCCATTGTGTTTCTCAGTATCTTCAACACACGTTTTAACTCACATCGCCAACATGACCACCGCCGCTGTCCCACCTAATCTTAGCAGTGGCCACTTCTGGCTCGGTGCCGGCAACGGAGCCAAGAACGGAGCGCCGACGCAACAACAACAGCAACAAGACGTGGAGGTCCCCAAGATTCTCCCTCCCGGAGTCACGCAGGCTGGATTCATCAAATTCGCCCGCCGAGTGATCCACGCGGTTGGAGGCGATAACTTCACTGTCATCACGGCTGGCTGTGACTTTGAGGGCTACGAAGATGATGATTTTGGACGCAACTGCCGCACCCACGACTACTACCGTTCCTTTGACGATGAGTGCGAGCTGGTGGGCTCAGCTCTGTGTCACCCGCGCAGCGTGCAGGATATTCAGGCTGTTCTTGCTGCGTGCAACGAGTCAAAGGTTCCCGTATGGCCCATCAGCACCGGACGAAACCTCGCGTACGGTGGCTCGGCACCAAGGGTAAGCACTGCAATCGGCACCTCGCCCCTATATCCCACCATGAAAGACTGACAGGTTGTGTCAAGGTTCCTGGATCGCTGGTGATGATTCTCAGCACGCATATGAACCGCATCTTGCACTTAGATGAGACAGCGTGCGTCTGCATCGTTGAGCCGGGTGTCACTTTCATGCAAATGAGCGAGTAAGTCGTCGATCATCCCATCAAAGAATCTCAGAAACTGAGAGACTGACAAGCTTCCCGCAAAAAAAGTTATCTGCGTGACCGCGGCCTCTTGGACAAGATCAGAGTAGACTCGTCAGGCCTCGGCTGGGGATCCATGATTGGAAATGCCCTGGACCGCGGAGGTGGTGCTTCCTTGTACGGTGATAGATGGGGAAAACACAGCGGAATGGAGGTGGTCCTGCCCAACGGCGAGGTCGCCAGGATGGGAATGGGAGCGATCCAGGACCCGGAGGGCCGCAAACAGGCGGAGCAGGGCGTTCACCCGGCCGATCAGAAGCTCAATGAGTGTTTCGCTCTGTTCCCGTACGGCTGGGGCCCAATGAACGACGGTCTATTCTCGCAGGGCAATGCTGGCATTGTCACCAAGATGGGATTCTGGGTGAGATGCCTCATCCAATGAAATATGGCCTTGTACGATCACAACGTCGAAAAGGGAAGACTAACAACTTTGACCATAGCTGATGCCCGCTCCGCAGGGCATGACGCCGTTCTCTGTCACTTTTGAGAAGGAAGCCGATCTGGCCGCCCTAGTCGACTGCATTCAGCCCCTTGATCTGGTAAGACTTCTTTCCAGGTTTGGAAGGTAAATTTGATCCCGCTGACTCTCTACAGAACGGCACGCTTCAGAGTTCAGTCAGTTTGCGCAACCTCACATTGGAGGCTGCTCATTATGGCCCGAGGTCCAGCTATACCAATGCCTCTCACAAGGAAGTCATCCCCGAAGAGGACTTTGAGAAGATGGCCAAAAAGCTCAACACGGGCCGGTGGCGCTACATTGGCGCCGTATTCGGCTCCGACAAAGTCCGCGCGGCTCTCATCGAGGATATCAAAAAGGAGCTGACCAAGGTCCCCGGTAGCAAGTGGGCCACGCTCGACGAGTGTCCCGGTGAGCAGAACCTGGTTCGTGTCAGAGCCACGTACCTTCAAGGTATCTCGTCCATGGGAGAGTTTGCCTGGATGAAGCAGTGGCTGCCCAACTGCTCCGTCATCATGGTCGCGGCTATTTCCAGACTTGAGGGCAAGGCTGTTTGGGAGCAATATTCATTGGCAAAGGAGCTGTTTGCCAAGGCGGGCATCGACTACATCAGCCACTACGTCGCATACTTCCGGACTATGCGTAAGTCCTCCCTTGATCGGATCATCGAAGTAACTACTTAGCTCACATCAACTGACATCGCACTTTCAGACAATGTATGCATCATTCCGTATGACAGAAAAGACAAGGACATGCGTGGCCGCGCGCAGTGGTTGGGCCGGACCCTGGTCAAGGAGTGGAAGGCTCGCGGCTGGAGCGTCTTCAGGACTCACGTGGGTCTCATGGACCAAGTTGCGGATGCTTATGACTTCAACAATGGTGCCCTGTGGAAGATGCATGAGGAGATTCACGACACCCTGGATCCCAATGGCGTTCTAGCTCCCGGAAGAGGCGGTGTCTGGCCAAAGTGCTACGATAAGGATGCTTGGATGATGGGAAAGAAGTACATTGGGTGAGATGAGCCTGGTAAATACTCAAAGATACGAATTCGAGTCTGCATGAGTTTTCATAAGATTTACCTGATCGACGGAGTGAAACGGGACGATAGTTACTGTGAATGGAAGAGCGTGGATGAATTGACAACTACCAGCGCTGCGCTTCATGCTAGAACTTAGAAGCCTAAGTGCATAGTCCCATCATCCGTAGCTACGGGTAGCTGAAACAATAAGCTCTTTACTCGATATGGGTACTATTTCCCCTATTCAATCTATACGGAACTCCCCTCGCTGGACCATCACATGGACTTCCAATTGTCCACTTCTTTACGTTACCATCTCGGGCCTCTCATCCGGTTCGTATACATCATGTAAGTTGTGACTTGAGATTGCGGACCTCTACTGCTCCAGCCCTGCTGTCACTAGTCATGAGCCAGGTTCATCGTCTAACTATTTCTGGAAAGCCGTTCGCACACACTCTCTCTTCAGCTGTCATCCGATCTACTAGATCACCAATCACGCGATAAAGGTGGCTAACCGCGGCTCTGGTTGTACTTACCAGGCTCCAACTCTCTGAGTGGGCAACTCGGACTCTAAGTTTTCTTTGGTTGACACATCCAGTCGGTCCATGCCGTGGCAACCAATGTGTTCTTTAAAGTCGGAACCATCGTTGAAACAAACAGAGAAGGAGCCACGGCAGCATATCGTTTCATTTCATCAGCCTTGTTGAGATTTGTAATTGATGATCGCAGGGCTTCAGATTGGACTTCTCAAATCAGGCGTATTGAAGCCTTTGGGGCCTGATGTGAGCATAGAAACGGACAACCCCCATGAGTCTAGCATCCGAGATTCAGAGCAGATATTCTTTTGTAGTCAAAATCCTATGCAGACTTTCCGATTTGGGAGTTAGAAAAGGTCAGCTGACAAGTCTTGATTTCTGCACGTAGTAAACCTCCACAATCTACTTCCTCAGTAAGTCTGGAGGTTGCCTCTGTGGCCGAACTTACACGAGAAGGTCTCATCAACATTGAGATCGACCAGCTCAGTGGCGTGCAAACTCAAAGACATTCATGTTTCGTCGCAGGACTAAGATTGCCTTCATGCATTCAGTCCGAGGTACAACACAGCAGGCTACCATCACGGGCTACAGCGCGAAGAAATCAAGTTTCAAACCAGAACCGCCTTGTTCTCATTCGTTCAACTAAAGTCTACCTTATCTACCAGGATTGGTAACAGAGAACCCCTTGATTGGGAAATTGAAGTTGATATGATGCGACTCAACCTTGCCCACCCCAGACGGTATATACACACTCTTATCCGCCGCCTTACTCGAAGCATAATCCTGCCACCCCACAAACCCCAACCACACAGTCCCGTTATCAGGCGTGTCCGTCGCCGTGATGCCCGAGTGGGACGCCAAGCACCCGGCATTCGCCTCGACCTTTTTAATCATGGCCGCCGCGGCGTCCTTGTCGCCCGTGAAGTGCGTAATGGTGATGATTTCGCAAATGGGACTGTTGATGAGCTGCGGCGGCGGCGGGACAATGGTGCTCACGTCGAAGTCGACGCGCGGGCACTTGGAGGGGACGGCTTTAAGGACGGGCATGAGGGCGTCGATGGCCTTTTGGTGGTGTGGGCAGCGGCCGAAGGCTTGGCGGTGCTCGACTGGGGCCCAGGCTGTGGTAATGGGGAAGTCATCGTCAGTTTCGGTCTGGTAGTGGGACAAAGTTGCGGTGTAAGTCAGGGGACAGTAACATACTCGCTAAAATCTCCAGCTTGCTGTGGTCCTCCTCCCAAGGGCCCCATCGGTAGCGGAAGTATCCTTCCGAATCCTTGACAGTCAACAGGAACTGCTTGAACTCCTCTTTCCAGTCTGGCACGTCTCCCTTCACGTGGAGGATCACTCGCGTGGGACCAAGGTTAGGAGGAGGGCCGGACATGATGTAAGACCTTGCTCTGGTTAAAGTTGACGAGAACGAAGTATAGAATGCTTATGAAAATTTGAGGCCACAACATCAAAGCCTGGGTGGTCTTTGTCTTGCCATCAGTTAGTTCCTCGAGGTGTGAGATTGTTATTATATCACACATCAAGAGCATCACCGATCCGAACCGTCTGATGGATGACGCAGTGACCAAAGATCAATGATGCCCTTTTCTTCCTGTGAGACGTCGACGGCAAGAGCATAGTGTTCCATGCCTTGGTCTCTTCAGAATTGTCACACAGAGTTACGTTTTGTGATACGAATAAGTTTCACGGACTGCGAATATTCCATCAAAGAAGAGGCAGCGCGCGCGCACGCGTAGATAATCCCCATCGGACTCCTGTAAATGGCGTGGCAAGAGCCACAGCTGCGAATATTGATCAGACGAGTTTTCTGCCCGGGTGGCCCGGATGGCATCTGACAAGCAGGCATGGGTATGTGCGTGCGTCACAAACCGAGCTACGATACGCAAAAGGGACGGCTTGGGTGGGCGGACGCGCGGGGAAAGCTTGCTGTTTCTCTTCTCTTCTCTTCTGGAGCAAACCTCCCAGCCTGCGGACAGCTCCAGGATGTAAGCTTGAGCTTAATGTATGTGTGTTTTGTGCTACAGGTTCTGTTGGTGTGATGAGTGATCTATCGAGATGGTCCGTTGCGAAGAGAAGCTTTGAGAGTCGGCACTTTCCTACCAATGAAGCCTGTTCAATTTGCAATTTCAACATTTTGCGTTTTGTCTTGTGGCCCTGGGAGCTGAAGCTCAAGCTTGAGCTTGGCAATGAAGGCTGTATCTGAAGTTTGAGCTTGTTCTCCTCACACCCATACGTTTCACGGCTATTCAGGCTTTTCAAGTTTGAGAGTACGGTTGGGGTTTTCAGGACTTCCCCAAGGCGACTAGCGACCACACCACACGCCCCCCCCTGACACCCACTTGATCGACTTCCCGCATCACCCTCACGGACGGCTAGAGAAGCATTGTACGTGACGTCGGTTGATCAGCGGTCCGACGCGTATTCGCGATAGAGGCGACCGGGTGACAGGTTTCCTCAACGAGTTTCGCGATCTGCGACAGAACTCTGTGAACTCTGCTAGTCACGACGGGGAACGGCCGACTGTGAAGGTCTCCCTGGCATTTCCATCATCACACATGGTAGTTCCTTAGGCTTCTTGGTCACTGGCGTCGTAAATGAACTTCCATATGAGATCCCCTTCAACGTCGAAGAACAGGGTTTTATTATTTGAGTGATTTCATCACGGGTGCTGCAATATCCCGACGGTTCCATAAGCGGAGGACAAGACTTCGTGATGAAATCATTGAAATGACAAACGCTCTTGTTGTATAACAAGCAGATTGTTGAAACAGACTCAGAGCTGGTACACTACCTCTATATTTTCATACACGCCGTAGTTGTGCTCTACAACTTGGACTTTGGTTCCTTCTCGTCATCGTCCTCCTGTTGTTTCAATCGAACGACACCCTATATCAAAAGAAGTCAGCACGCATCACACATTCAGGGTGAGAAGAAAAGAACCAAAACAGCGGCAATGAAGAGGGCAACTCACCTCCTGAACACAAGTCGCCAAAAGCGTCCCATCACTCGCGAAAATCTTCTGCAGCACCACGCCCCGTCCGTCGCCGCTCCAGGGGCTCTCCATCTCGGTAAACATCCACTCGTCCGCCCTCACCCGCCTCGGCTCGTGGAAGTAGATGGAGTGGTCCAAGCTGACCATCATGCCCAGGTGCGGCCTCGTCTTCCAGTACTCGATCCCGCCGGCCTCGGTGTTGCCCTCAAACTCGTTGAGCCTCTCAACCTGCTCCCGCAGCTCGGGCGGCAGGTCGTCAAACTCCTCGGGCTTGAAGGGGAACCGCCACAGCCTGTGGATCCGCCCGACGGTGCCGATGAAGTAGCTGTCCGACATGTACGCCAGCGCGTTCAGGTGCGCCTGGTGGCCACCGCTCACCGAGATACGGCCCCGCGCGCGGACCCAGTTGCGCGATTTCAGCTCGTCGAGCCTCTTGCCCTTGTCTCTGGCCCCAACGATGGAGATGCGGTGCGTCTGGAAGGGCGAGTGCGTGCTCCACTCGGGTTCGCCCTTCCAGTTGTCCGGGGGCGGCTTCACGCCGTCGGGCAGCGGCGCCGCGTGCCGGACCTGCTTCTCGCCGCCGCTGCCCTCCTTGACGAAGGAGACGGTCGTCGTGAAGATACACCGTCCGCGCTGGCGGGCCTGCACGGTGCGCGTGGCGAAGGAGCGGCCGTCGCGGACGCGCTCCACGTGGAAGAGGATGGGGATCTCAGAGGAGCCCGCGAGGAGAAAGTAGCAGTGGCACGAGTGAAGAAAGAAGTCGTTGGGTACCGTCTTCTGCGCGGAGGCAAGGCACTGCGCGATAACGGCGCCGCCAAAGATGCCGCGGGCGCCGGGCGGGTGCCACGGCGTGCGCGTGTTCGTGAAGATGTCCTGTTTACAATGTCAATTCATGTTCACTCTCTGACATGTACGCTTGTGTCATTGGCAGACATGTGGCCGCCGACGGCATCGGGTGGGATTCACTCACCGGACCAAGCACGCCGAGCTCCGTCACCTCCAATACGTTCTCCATCGGACTCTTGTTCGGGTCATCCGGCGGGGGCCGGATGATTGTTGATCTACCTGATGCCATTGTGCCGGTATATTCTTCTGTGCAAAGATTTGGCTCTAAATCGATTGCCGTCTACACTCTTTGATGATGTTGTTGGTGAGCTCGCCCTTACGCCCCGAAGAAATCTCTCTCCTCTAAACACCAAGTCTTGGCGTTTCGCAAGGTCAAACACGAGCGCTTCTGTGCGCTGCGCCTTTCAATCTATCCCTCGAAGTGCCTGTGAATTAAATGAAGAAAAGGAAGGTCTGAAAGACGAAGATGAACGACACAATGGGGATGAGAACAGGATTCGCTCGTGAATGAACCCAGGAGCCCGGATTGAGATGCGCGACCAGGTCCCCTAAATGTGACATCAATTGGGGTCGTGGCCACTGGGCAAGGCAAGGGGGGGAAAGTGCCGAGGTCCA